CAATAGTGCTTGTTAAACTTGGGCTTCCCAAACTTGTCCCTATTCCGGCAGCTCAGGTCTACAGGGCCAAGTTCCTGGTGTTGAGACCTGGACCGCATTGTGCTAGGGTTTGTTCTTACCTTCTCCTTTTCCACTGGTCTGCTCAGAACCTGATAGGATTCCCATGATCTCCAGCAGCCCAGATAAAAGTGCCCAGGGTGACAGGCCCCTGGAGAACATTGGCTGGGATCTCAGTAGATAGCCAATCTGTGTCTACCATCGATGTCTCCCTACCTGTTTAATTAATCTTGCCATCTGCTTATTGTGTCAGCCAAAATAGCTGAGCTAGGTGTTTAAGAATGTGAGTACTCTTGTCTCTCATCTTAACTTGTGAGTTGTAAAGAGCAAACAAAACATTCAAACTAGAGAGGGAGATAATCTGTGTTAAAAACACCGAGGCAGGCAATATTTCTTTTCCTGAATTTTGCTTTTCCTTTCTGATTAATTATAACTGTGGTAATATTTCCAAATAAACACTATGTAATTAAGAGAAAGGATATACTTATGAACTGTGCATTATTGCCCAGGTTTTGTTATTCTGAATACTGAGAGGAACCCTCTGACATCAGTGGGTTTGTTTTTTTTTCTCCTTTGATGATGTGGAAACATTTTAGCTGGAACACAGGTGGAGAGGGAAAAGGGTAGAGACCATCATTAAGTTTCCTCTGCTGTCCACGCCCTTGTTGCACAGAACTTTATTTTGGGGCCAACCCTAAGGGCAAAGGCTCCTATTTCCTTGTCCCATTGCCTAATCCCTGCCTCATTTTTATGTGAGTGGGAGGAGTGGGCCAGTCTTATATTGAATTGGTAGTGGGACGTAATACAGTGGGAGATAACAACTGTGTTTGTGTTTGACAAGTACAGGAAGGCAGGCTGAAGAATGAGCTGGGGAAAGGATAGGTAAGAGGCAACCCAGGCTCTGAATAAGATGTGGTTCATACTTACCTTTTATTTCGTACACCCTCTGATATGCAAGGAAGGAGTTCAGGCAGCCAGGAGATGGGTAGAATTCCCTCCTGGTGGTACAGGCAGTGGCAGCAGCAGTGAGGTGAAGCATGAGATGTTCTCCCCAGGTGCTGGGCGTGGCAAACCCTCCAGAGACCTTGGGACCAGCCAGGAGCGGAAATAGTCCATGAGCCCCATAGCATTCCATAACTGAAATAGCACAGTCAGGTTTGAGAAGACACTTGGATGGGGGTTAGAAGAGCCATTCAGGGTGTTATGACTAGGTTTCTGAGACTCCCATATGTGAGGACCCCTCACTGCTGAGAAGCAGTGTGGAGGGTTAAAAGAATGGACACTGGAGCCAGCCTTGGTTTCAGTCCCGGATTGGCCACTAGCCAGCTGTGCAACCTTTGGCAAATTACTTTGCCACCGTGTACGCAGTTTCTTCATCTGTAAAATGGAGACAGCAGGGTTACTGTTTGTTGCAAAGAATTAATGAGTTACAAGTATATACTGCTCAGAAGAGTGCCTACCCCTCAGTGAGCGCCCAGTAAAGGTTGGCTGTTCTTACGTGAGTAAGAGATGTCCATGGTGTGGGGTAAAAACCCAAGTACAATGCATCTTCCCACACCTTTTAATTGGGATCTCACTTAGTCTCCTTGGCTACGTGGTTTTCAGTGCATTTCTGCAGCCTCTTTAAGTGCACACAGCAGACCCTTAGTAGTAGCCTCCTTTCTCTCTCCAGCCTCCATGGGAGGGGTTGGGGAGGTAGATGAGGCAGCCATTGAACAGACAGAGGAGTGAGGCCCTTACCTCCAGTATCCGTGAGTTCTTTCCCTGTGGATTGTGGACATCTCAAGCCCCTTTCAAAACAACAAAGAGATCTGGCATTTGCTTGCCATGGTCCTTCACTTCACTTTTAAGAGTCTGTTGGCTTTCCCTTCTTCCCCCTCAGCAGTAGAGGTGATGCGGCCGTGTTGTACCTGGGATTTCTCATCATCCTTCGTAGATCCCAGTGTGCAGAGATGAGCATGACAATGGCTCATTTAAGACTTCTCCCTGCTGCAGTTTTGTTGTCAGGAATGTGTCAGGGTAGCCAGTGAATATGTGGACATGGGCGCATTAGGTAGTGTGAGTGGGGTTCTCAGGGGTGGTGGAGAATTCCCATCAGCAGGAGTGTAGGTCTCCTGGCAGGCCCTAGACATCCACCTGGAAGTTTTGCTGCTGACCATTTATGCAGCGGGGGACCAGGGTTTCTGGCTGGAACACTGATGGCCTTGTTCTCAGACCTGTAGATTTTGGGGATTAGGCAGTGTGAGATTACTGAAAGAACCTGACCAAAGCGACTTTGCGAAGTTATCTAACTTCTGGCAGCCTCTGCTCCCCCATCTTTAAAGTACTTAGTTCAGAGGGTGGCTTTGAGGAGTGAGTTGATGTAATACATGTAAAAAAATTGCCATGCAGGCCTGCTTCAATACACAGCTTAATAAAAAAAAAAAAGTGATGTGGCTCCTGCGGCTCAGAGTCCCAGAAGCTGGTTTCAGCAGGTCTGCTGAGACTTGGCTGTGTTTGACAGTGCTGCTGGTGAGCTGCTTTTGGGGAACAGGTCCTCTCCAAAAGTGAGCTTGAGTCTTGAGTGCTTCCTTCAGATTCTCAGGATATCTGAGAGTTAAGAACCACAGCTCTATAGCAAGGTTTTTTAATATTGGCACTGTTGACATTGAGGTCCAGGTCATTTCTTGTTTATGGGGACTGTCCTGTGCCTTGTAGGATTTTAGCAGCATCCCTGACCTCTACCCACCTGACGCCATTAGCATCCCCCTCTTCTTCTACAGTTGTAACAACCAAAAATGTCTCCGGTCCCAAATGTCCCCACAGGTAAAATCATCCCTAGTTGAATACCAGTGCTCTAGACGTATCTTACCCACCCAGCGAGATGCCCTCTTTCATTATATTCACTCTTCACTATCTTGTTTCATTTCTCTTTTGCATCTGGAGTATTTTCTATTTATATTCAATAGAGTCCGATTAAGTAGACTGCTATTATACCTGTTCACACATGAAACTGGAGTAGACCGTGAAGTGAATGTTTAGGAACTCTTTCAATGTGTACTAGAAGGATATACATTTTTTTTTCTTTTAAGTGGATTTGAAATTGCCCACTGACAAAATATTTTCAAGCTTTCCTGGCTGAGAAGTTATTTTCCGGTGGTGTTTGGAGATAGTGCACTCACTGGACACACCAGAGGGTCCTGGACCTCTTCCTCATCCCAGCACCTGCTGGTGTTTCCGTTCTCTTTTATCTTGGCTCCTGAGAGGCTGGCTCCTAGCAGCCCTGGTTCCTTTTCTTTCGCTCCCCAGGGCAGCCTGGTAGCCAGCAGGGATTCTTGCCTACTCAACAAGTATACCCTGGGTAAACCAGCGGCAATTGTCTGGGCGTCCACTTGTGTGGGGAGGCACCTGTCCTCTGGTGCCTGATAACCTCTTCAAAATCTCTCTTTTGAGTGTAGAATATTTATTTCTGCGGCGGTGTGCACGTGGGTCACTTATCTGTAGCAAAGGACTAGAACTCCCAGCCTCACAGGCTGTCCACCACCATTACCAGTATCATGTGAGGTGTTAATAAGTATTTCAAGGGGAAAAGAGGGTTGCTGTATCAAATAGGTTGAGCAGAAACCCAGGACTTTATAGCATACTAAAGGTTCTGAGATGCACTTACATACTAAAGGTTCTGTAAATACACTTCTTGACCCAAGTTCCTAAGCATACTAGGCCTTGGAATACTTCTCTTTGTAGAGCCCCTGTGACACCTTGAGGTCCTCAGGGACACAGACCGATGTTATTACAGACCTTGCCTGATAGCATCTGAGTCCTGGGGTCTGGTGTCACCGAGGACATGGGCTTCTCTGCTTTAGACCTCTGCGTGAAGAGACTCCCTCTTCCTAAGCTTGCAGCCTCTTGAAGTTGATGGCAGAATACAGTAAACCTAAGTAAAGGAGGTGATGGTCACACCTATCACTTATCTCTGTGTGCTACTTTTCTTTTGTGAGTCGTGGGGTTGCTTTGACATTATCTTGTTCTGCCTGAGCTGTGTCCTTCCTGTACCCAGCAATGTGTATTTAGCATTGAATTGGTACGTGGGCATCTTCCTTTTATGCTCATCTTGCCACTTTTTGCTCTTCTATTTATAAAATGATATGTTGAACTTGGGGGTTGACATTGGAGTATAACATTAATTTTACTTTAAGAAAACAACTGGCGAGTCCTTAAATTAATGACCTTTCTGGGTATGGTAGGATCTTAGCTACCATTGCATAGCAGGAAGGGCCAAGACTGCTCCACCAAAGTCCCCACCGTAGCACACCTATAGAGGCTCAGGTCCTGCTGGGTTCACACTAAGCACTCTGAGTTTAGCCAACAGCTATCATCTAAGATAGGGGTCCTCAAACTTTTTAAACAGGGGGCCAGTTCACTGTCCCTCAGACCGTTGGAGGGCTGGACTGTAGGCCCCAGGACAAGTTGGCTGCTAAGCAGGACAGGCAGCAGTGGCAAAAACACCCAACGGGCCAGATAAATGTCCTAGGCGGGCTGCATGTGGCCCACCAGCTGTAGTTTGAGGATGCCTGATCTAAGATTTCTATTCTAACCCTCTCTTCCCTTTTTCCTACAAGGTTCTGCCACCCTTCACCACTGGCAGCAATTGGCCCAGCCTCACCTTGGGGGCATCCTGGACCCCCGTCCTGGTGTGGTCACCAAGGGCTTCCGGACACTGGACGTTGACCTGGATGAAGTGTACTGCCTTAACGACTTTGAAGAAGATGACACAGGTGACCACATTTCTCTCCCGGGCCTAGCTACCTCTACGCCAGTTCAGCACCCAGAGACCTCAGGTGAGAGGTCGCGAGCACACGTGACTGTCTCAGGCAGCAGAAGTTACCCAAGCCGGCCTCAGGCTTCCTCAGAGGAGATGCAGGAGCCGCCAACGGCCACGGAGGAGGAGGAGGAGGAGGAGGGGTCTGGTGAGGGCACCACGATAAGTCCTGTAAACTTGGCACCTTACCCGGAGGCAGAGTTCTGGGCCATCCTCACCTCTGTTCCGGGCACCATCCGTAGTGGCTCTCTGTCTGTAGCTTCCGCTCGTCTGTGTGGGTGATTATTAAAGCATTCCCATTGCGCAGTTCTGTTTTTAATACAGAATCTGACGCCTCCTATTTGTAACAAATGGGTGTAACTCCCTGCCCCATCTTGGAGGTGCATGGCCCAGCAGGGCTTTTAAAGTGGGAACAGGAAAGGCTGCTAAAAAGAAGTGGATTATTGGGTCCCCTGAGAACATCAGCACCCTTCTTCCTGTTATGTGTTTCTCCCTGTGTCTACAGGGCAGATTCTCAAATCCCCTGGTGACTTCCAAACTGAGCTGAGCTAGGCAGTTGTGGGGAAATGATGAGGGCTGCATTGTTCAGAAGGTGAATAAGAGAAGCTATTACCTGTATGCTATATTAAGATACAATGAAGCCTAGGAAATGTTCAGGATTTCAGACAACATTAAAAGATCAGCCTTTTTTACTTTCCTAACTTCAATGCAGGCATATATGTTGTTTTCTTTCGAGCTTATAGGTGTGGTCCAAGTGGCTTTTGGGGAAGTGCAATATTCCTTAGCTAAATAAACCCTAAGAGAAGGTCATTAAGCTTTTCCAGAGAGAGGACATAGAGGAATCTGGAAAAGAGCTCTGCCTGATCTCCCTTCCCCCAGCATTAAGGCAGAATTAACCACACCCCAGTGGCCACTGGGAAAGCAGGGCCCCTGGGAACCATGAGGTCATATGATTACTGTTTACCCCAACGGTTTGCTTTGGCCCAACTTCCTAGACCTCAGAGTTCCTTGTGCTTAGAAGACAGAGCTCTTGTGGGATAAAGAGAGAGACCCAGAAACGATGAATTAACCTGATGTTATCATCCTCATAACATTCATGACTTACCAAGTTTGAAGAAAGGACATTTATCCTGGTGATTCATGGTTTTCAGCTATGAAGGCCATCACACTCCCCATGAAATACCAGGCAGAAAAGAGCCTAGGCTCATGGTCGTATTTTGAATCCCCTGGCTAATTTCAGACAGCTATGATCAAGGAACTTTGAGACCAACTTTTCTCTTGTTCTTTGACATAAACTTTAGAGGAGTCATCAAGTAAAAAGGATTTATTTACGTGGGTTTGTTTATGATTTAATTTTTTTTTCCTTTTGAGCAGTTACCATATTAAGCATGTGATGGAATAAAAATGTTTGTTATTTCATATCCACACACCCAAGAAAGGGAAGAAAGGGAAACCAGCTGCATATGGTGCCTCCCTTGTTATCAGCACCCATGCCCATCTGGATGGCAGGTGATGAAGCAGAAAGATGACATCTGGCTGCTGCTTGTGGTTGAAAGGGTGGGCATTGTGTTGAGTGAGATGCCCTTGCTGCAGCTGGCAGGGAAGAGAGGGTGAGTCGTAGAAGTTCAAAGAAGCACCAATTGTAGAGAAGGAATAAAGCTTAGCAAGTCAACAAAGAACTTCTGTCAGAGAGCAGAGGGAGAAGGACCAATTATGAGGACTAAAGTCCCGACCACTTTCCATACCATAAGCAAAGACAAATTTTGTGTTCTCTCCTTATTCAAACCTGCAGCTAATTCATCCCGGCAACTTTCTTTGAAGAGAGGCAAGAATATTTGTAGTTGAAACTGTAGGAGGCAAAGGTTGGAGGTATATGATCAGAAAAGAATGATCTGGTTGCTGAAGGTTATTTAGGAAGGATCTGACCATTTAGATCAGAGTTCTTTTTATTTTCTGGGTAAGATTCATCATTAAAAGCTGGTTGCAGAAGGAAACTATAAATGAAGATTCGCCTCTTTTTTTGTCTATTGGGAGTGACATTTTGATTCTTAGAAGGAAAAGTACATGACTCTCCAGTCATCCTGGAGGCCCCAACGGGCTCTGTGCCTGCAATCTGGAGTGGTAGGTAGACAGATGAGCTTTAGGAGGAGGCCTAGGGCATCCTCTGTCCTAGTGTTTGTGTCCAGGGTGGTCTGGTGCCCAATGCTTGGGCTTTTCTGTGGCCAAACAGCACTACCCCAGGAGCTGCCCTCTGCCTGGGAGGACTCTGTAGGGAGACACAACTGGTATGATGGGAGGAAATATGGAAGATTTGTGTATTAGGCCCTTGTGTCTAGAGCAGTGTTTTTCAACCTTTTTTTAATCTCATGGCATACTTGAACCTATAAACTTCCACTGCACACTTAAATTATGTTGATTAAAGAGGAAGCAAAAAAAAAAATACTTAACTGTGCTTTGAACTTCTTTTGAAAATAATTTGATTAATGATCTTTAAAAATTATCACGCCTAAGATCCTCTCACAGCACACGAGTGTGCTGTGTGTGGCACACCAGTTGGAAATCACTAGTCTAGAGCCTACTGCCCCATGGAGAAAAAGTTTTGAGTACTGGAAAACTTTACATGTAGTAATATATTTTAATGTATTTATTGAGGCATCATTTGCTGATTTTTATAATCCCATGTTTTTAAAAGGGTGATTCGATGTTATTGTATTGTAAATAATTTAGATGATTAAAATGAATTATTTAAAACATTTTAAAAATACAGTTTTACTTTATTTCAGCAGTATGTTTTATGTTTTAATTCATATAGAAAGTATACTTTGTCAGAAATAATCATCTTGTCCTGTGAGTAATCAATATTTTAGATATGTGTGGGTAAGAGCCTATGTGTGGTATTAAGAGTTAAAGTCACCCAGTTAAGTCTGTAGTTGGTTAGTGGAATGGACAGTTCCGTTGAATTATCTTGATCCTTAAAAGTAAGAAAGAGTTGGGATTAAAGCCAACCCACAGCGATAGAGGAAGTTGAAGTTCAGTTCATTTTAATACTCATATACATGGATACTAGTAATTACATACGGGGGGAAATATCCTAAAACAAGCTCATGGCACCTTACCTGGCAGCGGCCCTGCCAGGAGCTGTATCATAATGGGCTGAGAGCCTAAAGTCAGTGTGGAGGGCAAAAATCACACTTGATCAAAATTACCCTTGAAAAATACCCTAAATTGTCTACACCTGGGCCCCAAGAGGCAAAAGCCAAGAATTAACCTTTTGTGTCACTTCCTTTTCTGATATCAAAGCCCAAGTTTATGAGCAGCTACTGTATGAGGGAAGGGAGCACAGCTTGTGGTGGAAAGGAGCCAGGCAGTAAGGCCAGTATTCCTGCAGCTTCTCCTGGAGGCAGGGCCAATTAGAGCAAAGCCATACCAGTCAGCATTCTGTCTTGCATTTAGCCTCGCAATGGGCCATAGAAACAGGTCCAGATAGGTGTGAGAACAAGCTGGCCTGGGGGGTTCCATGGATCTGGAAGGAAAACTCTGGTACACTCAGTTCACAAACCCTTGGGTACAGGGAAGTTTCTTCCCGTGGTCTCCACTGAGACAGTGATGGTAAATTCTCTTCTGGTGGGAATACCTCTCGATCCAGGGGAGTGGGCCATTCTGGCCAGGGTGAACGGCCTGCTCACACCCACATGCGCAAGGGGATGCTAAGGAAGCCCCTGTGATCTTGCACAGGATGTGTGTTTAAACCAGAGCAAAGCATCAATTCAGAAGTGGAAAAATGAACAAAGAATGACAGAATTGACTCCTCTAAAACCAACAGCCTAGTCAACCCTGCTTAAAGTTTCCAGAACAAAGCCCGCTTGTTGAAAGTGGTTTCTGTATGGCATCCTCACCTCTGAAAACCATGGAGAACACAGCATTCCTAGAGGCATCACATGGGTTTCAGACGAGCAGGCATCTGCACCTGCCACTTGTCTGATCTGGGGGGGGCTATAAGGGAGCACACGGTGCCCAGACTTGGGTGAGTTGTACAGCTGCCTAGAGAAGCTCGGGAGACGTGCTCCCAAACTAGCTTTGGAATCACCAGCAAGGGAAGATCTCAGTGTAGCTCAGCCAGGCCAGCTCCCTTTGCTTGTTGGTGTCTGCCTGACAGAGGACATGGGTCTGCCCTTGTTGTCCTGGCAAGGATCCCAAGAAATTTTTGCATTTGCCCTTTTGACATTTTGAACAGCATCCAAAAATAACCCCCTTTTCTCTAGAAGATAAGTCAGGGGCACTGGAGAGAATTGTGACCTTTGCAAGATTCTGTGAAATTGTTCATGTCTTAAATACTTTTTAAATGAAACAGAGAGTAGACAGCTTGGTATAATGGGAAGGGATGACTTTTAATTTTGCAGAAACCAAAAATAACTTGTACAGAAACCAAAAAAAAAGATCTGCTTCAGAATCTCTGTGATAAAAAGCTCCCAAGTTCCTGCTGGCCCCATATCTGATGCCCAAGGGGCTCATGGGTCTCTAGAGAGCTGCAGGCCAGACAAGGGTTCTCTTAAAGACATACTTAAGAAGAGATAAACAGTTACCATAAGCTAACGTAAAGTCTGGAAATAAAGTCTTAAAAAATGTCATCCTCGGGGCGGCACCTGTGGCTCAAAGGAGTAGGGTACTGGCCCCATATACCGGAGGTGGTGGGTTCAATGGCAAATATATATATACATCTATATATATATATATCATCCTCTACAAATACTTTATAGTTTTTCTTATTAAATCATAACTGTATACATTAATACTATCATGGGGTACAGTGTACTGTTTCTGTATACAATTTGAAATACTTTCATCCAACTGGTTAACATAGCCTTCATGTCTTTTTCTTAGTTATTGTGTTAAGACATTTATATTCTACCTTTAGAGAGATTCACATGTACCCTTATAGGATGAACCATAGGCGTGATCCCACCAATCACCCTCCCTCCACCCACCCTCACTCCTCTGCCTCTCCCCTCTCCCATATTCCTGGGCTAAATTTGGGTTATAGCTTTCCTGTGAAAGCTATAAATTAATTTCATAGTAGGGCTGAGTACATTGGATACTTTTTCTTCCATTCTTGAGATACTTTGCTAAGAAGAATATTTTCCAGCTCCATCCATGTAAACATGAAGGAGGTAAAGTCTCCATCAGTTTAAGATCACTTTTATCTTATTATAAGAAAGCTGCATTGCTACATTGAAACTACTCTTGATTCCCCAATACCTTCTGGAGGAAAATACTTGTTAAAGCTGCATTAATTAACATGATATTTATATTAATGATGAATCATAGGGCAAACAAAAGCTTTATGGAGCTTTGCCCACATGAACTCATCATAGAACCTCTGCCCCGTCCCCAGAAATTTTATGGGTAGAGTTATATAATGAAGTAACAGAAGAAAGCCTTCAAAGCATTTTCTATGCCTTGATATTTAGAAAGAATTTTGAAGGCATTGCTTCTTGCCTCTTTGTTTAATGAAAGGAGCTATTTCTTATAGCTAACTGGCAAAGAAATATCTTCTTTCCCCCTTTCAACCCCTCGATCAAAAAACAACAAAGTTATTAGAAGCGGGGCATTAAGAAAATACTGGTATTCTTAAGGCTTAGTTGAGGCCACCCTGCCTTGAAGTTGGGTAGACAGGGGCTTTTATTTTCAGTAGATTTGTTCTTGCTTGGATAGAAAAGGCTGGCCTGCAGGTGCCTCTGTTGGGTGTTGGTTAATGAGTTTATAGAACTTGCAAAGCTGATCCAAATCATGTGAGGGTATCATCATACACAACACATCCAAATTAAGAAAGGGAAAGAAAGGTCGGGGCATTTGGTTAATTTTCCACAGCCATTTCCACTGAAGAGTGGACAAAGAGTATGGAAGGCTGTCAGTGCATCACAAAGACAGGGTCCCGTTTTCCAAGCTTTTGAGATGCATTTGTAATTTTTTTTTTTTTTTTTTTACGTTTTTAGAAGTTATTTATTTATTTTTTTGAGGCAGAGTCTCAAGCTGTCACCCTGGGTAGAGTGCCGTGGCGGCACAGCTCACAGCTACCTCAAGCCTTGGGCTTAAGCAATTCTCTTGCCTCAGCCTCCCACATAGCTGGGACTACAGGTGCCTGCCACAATGCCCAGTTATTTTTTTGTTGTTGGAGTTGTCATTGTTGTTTTAGCTAGCCCAGGCTGGGTTTGAACCCGCTAGCCTGTGTGTATTTGACCGGCTCCCTACCCACTGAACTATGTATGGGCACTGCCCTTTAGAAGTTATTTACATGAAATTTTAAAAATATAGCTTGGCTGTGTGACATGACTGGTGTTTATCCGTCCTCAAAGGAGAAGCAGCTGTGCACAAGTGTGTACTGTGTGGCCCATAGAAACACACCAGGTGCAGCTGTATTCTCTGACATCTCGGTGGGCTCATGTGGGAGTTCTTTTAAGGACTAGGTTCTAGAAAGCTTCTAGAAAGCTTCTGTTGTCCCCAGCACATTACCAGTCTGCCCTTCCACATAGAATGGAGTAAAAGAACACCATTAGGATTGAATGAAATGGCGGAGTTGGTGTGAACAAAGCTCCACCAAGTCCCTGGGAATCCCTGCGCCCTGCCACTGTCCCACCCTGGTCTGTACTCTTTTTGCAGCCTCATGATGAAAGCGGTGGGCTTTCCTGCCTATCTCCCCTGGGGGGCTAAGCGATGCACACGCCAGCAGCCACCCTGGCTTATATGGCACAATGTGCAGGGGCAGCCAGGGAGCAGACCCCGACTTTGCTAGAGACTGGGACCCTGTCAGGGCTCCTTCATCACTGGCTCCAGTAGCAGAATCCCAACCACCCTGCTTTCTAGTCAGTCCCAGACATCACAGGCCCCAGGGAAGCACTGGCAGCCAGTGCCACTTTCCACATGCACCTTATCCAGCCAGAAAGCATGCCAGTGTCCTCCCAGAGGGCAGGGACCAGGACTTTCACCCTGTGAAGTCCTCTGCTGCACCCATCTGCAGCTAGTAGAAGGAGGGGTGCTTGAATGAGGCATGTTTTCAGTACAAAAAGAGTGTATGCTGGCCTACCAACAGTGAAAGTCTTCAATCATCAAGGATTAATTAAATTTAAAGCTCATCAAATGTTGTACCAGTGTCAGAACTTGGGAGAAGAACAATTAAAAATAATAAAAGACTAGAGTTTCTTACTGGCAAATGCTAATTCACTCCTAAATAAAATAGTGAAAGTACTTGTCACCATGAAAACTCCAGCCTGTACTGTGTGCCCATCTCCCCACAACACTCTGAAGCTAGGTCGAGAGAGGAAATAAGAAGTAAGGGAGTATGGGATGGTGCCTGTGGCTCAAGGAGTAGGGCGCTGGCCCCATATACCGGGGTGGCGGGTTCAAACCCAGCCCCAGCCAAAACTGCAAATAAAAAAAAAGTAAGGGAGTGAAAGCAGTAATTGTAAGAAGCCTGTCCTTCTAACCCCCAAAGTGCACAGCATGAGATGAACACATAATACCACCTTCTGCAAAGAACTTCTGGTTTAGATAAAGCAGGGCCTTCGGTGTAGATATAGCAGGGCCTTCAGTGTGTGGTGTGGCCTTGGTGATGTTAGTGGTGAACCCTCGTCATGAGCCCCCCGCTCCCTGCCAAGAACAATGTTTTATGTGCCTCTTACTATTATTTTTTTTTTTTAGCACTTGCTCTCTCCCTGCAGCCAGGGCTTTGGGAATCAGCCTGTTGCTTCTCTGTGACAAGCACGAGAAGCCCTGCTGAGCCCAGCCTCAGGTGACTCACTGTGTCTATGTTGTGTCCCAAGGAAGGGTGGTGCAGCAGCGGCCCGGCAGTCAGTGGTGACGTGCGGAGAGTTGGCGGGTCCAGGCGTCCCCGTGGTATTTTGCAGGGGCTGAACCTCTGGCTTTGGCACTTTTGACCCTTGTTGATCTTCCTTGGTCTTCTAAAGCTGTTCATTGCTTCTGGGGAGTGGTGACTTGTGAATTTTTAGCAGCCTTTTCCTATCCCCAAAACCCATTTGTATAAGATGGGTTTTGCTTCTGCTGATGCAGTTATGTCTCTAAAATGTCCATCTTATACTACCTGTTGTGATTGAAGATCTAATACATGAGGTGGGGGGTGGGATGTGAACATTCGTGACTGGCCATGTTGATTTGATGGTCTGGCCATGTGTTTAAATGGGTACGCTTCTGATTTTAAATACAGCCTTGCCTTGTTTGATTTTTTTTCTCAATGTTATCTCTCTTTCAACTATTTTGTCTTTAATTATTTCTATTTCCTGCTTTTTCCTCCCTTCCCAAATAACCCCTCATGCCTATTATTTGGGACGCTTTTCTCAGGTTTTCTGTTGCTTTTGTTTCTAGACCTTATTACAGTCAGAGACTCGTGATTGTTTGGTTGCCTTTTCTTCATAGCTTATTCCATTTTTCTTTGCTTGCAGCAATTTCTTAGTTATTAGAGTTCCTAAACCACTACACTTATTGGTCAAGAGACAAAGATTCATAAAGGCTATTTTTATGTGTTTTTATTTTCTTTCCCTTTCTTCCCACTTTGCCTGGAGCTCCCTGTGGAAAATTTGCTGTCATGGCCATGGTGCTGGCTGTCCTGCCAAGGGCCACAGGGGCCTCCTTTGCCACAGAGCTGGGCTAGACCATAATAATCAGGGCAAACCAGTCTTGCCTTGCTCCTCTAGTCACTGTTGCCATTTTTGTGCTCTCAATTTGTCCTGCCTGCTTCAAGTTGTTTGTCTCCAGCATTTTTTTTTTAATTTTTATTTTTGTTTCACCTGGTTTCTGGTTCTTTTAAGACACATCAATTATGTGTGGATCTGTAGGTTGGGGGCACCACCTATTCTGTTTTGTTTCCCTTTTCCTTTTTGTCAAATCCAAGAGAAAACTTCTCATGAAGAGCTAGAAAATTCTAGTTCACAGCCTTTTGAATCTGCATAGCCTCTGAATCCTCTTGGCCTCTGATATCCTAATCCGTTTTCTCCCAGGAGGTCTCTGGGGGCTGAGCTGCTACAGGGGCAGAGGGGAGGGCGGGACGGGGTGGGAGAGTCATCCCAGTACTTCACTGTGCATGCTATTTGGTGCAGCATCTTTTTTTTTTCTTTTTTCTTTTTTCCCCCTGATGCCTGAGTTATGAATGAGGTTGACCTCTACAATCATGATGTCTCCCATAGCCTCCATTACTCATTCCTCTGCCAGCTTTCTGATGCATGGTCCTAATACTTTGTGACTTACTCTGCTCCTGAGCAGAGTCCTCAGCTGCCTCAACAGCAACTTGGTAGAGCATTAAAAGGAAGTAGATTTAGGATCACTTGTTGCCATCTCATTTTCATTAGAAATCAGATATCCCAGAGATGGCAGGAAAGCAGCCGGAGGGTAAGCAGGGGATACCTGTGCCACTGGTACCACTGTGCGTCAGACCAGACTGGACCCTGGAGCTTTAGCAGCACTCCAGAGAGCCCTGATCTCTGGAACTTTTGCCACCTCATTGTTGAGGCAGCTGAGGTCCCCATCTTCCATCGTGACAATCACACATAGGCAGTAGTGGAACCAGCTTCCCTAAGCCCCTTTTTGTGAGAACAGAAAAGGGAGCTATGCACCTTGCCCTGTTTCCAGGAGCCAAGGGCCTCTCCCTGCCTGCGCCTCTCCCTTTCCTCCAACCAGAGTTTTGGTACCTGTTTACCAATGAAATCAAATATAAAGCAACAAAAGAAGATAGCAGATTCTACCCTGAGGAGGGAAACCAAATTTACCCACAAAGACCCTTTAAGCCCCCACTCTCACCAACTGGATCCACTACTGGCCCAAGAATGAGGAACCTTGTCTGGATTGGGTTGGAAGCTAGAATCCGATGCTCTGCAGACCAGTGCTCAAAATTGTAGTTATTTTTGAGGAACCACCTTCAGTCCAGAACATGTGTGTTTCACCTTCCTCGCCCAGATCCAGTCAACAAGGTAGCTCATCACTTCTTGCATCTGTTGAGGGTCATGCTGGATTATTATTTTTGTCATTGTTATACTAAGATGCAAGGAATATGTTTTGTTCCCCTCAATTTAGCACACCACCCTGGGAAGTGCATGTCACAGACCAACTCCACCTTCACCTTTACCACCTGTCGAATCCTGCATCCTTCAGATGAGCTCACTCGGGTCACACCAAGGTAAGGAGCACACACCTGGGGTGGGCAGGGGTGGGCTGATATTGGGGTACCCCTTGCCTGTAAGCCTTAATGTTGAGGAAAGCCGAGTAGAGAGCTTCATTCAGAAACCAACTTTATGTAGCCAGCTTAAGCATCTCATCAGCATTCGCAGTTATTCTGGGTCCCATCTTTCCTTTTGAATCAAGGCTCCTAGTTGCTCTTTTAGTTGGCCATAGATGGATTAAGGAGGTCTACCCCTCCTTAACCAGCTGATGCTGACACTACTACAGGCCCTACAGCCAAGTCTGTTGGATTTTTGCAACCAAGTTTATCAACAGAGCATGGAGTTCTTTCCTGGATGGAGTTAACTCAGCCCTGTGGAAGGGCTTTTGCCTCTGGAATAGGTGCCAGGAACTACACCCTGCAGCCAAACTGTGATGACTAAAGTCACAATACTCTAAGACTGAGCCCAGCACAGTTCGTTTCACAGTTCATTGATCAGGAGGACTCGTATTGTGTGGGTTGGTCTGTTTGGCTTGATTTCAGGCCTTCCATAGCTCCTAGTGAAAGGGAACACAGTCTCTCCCAACACAGCAGAGTGACCCCCTCAGCCACTCTCTGTGTGATACGGTTAAGCAAGATGCCAGTTAATGGCAAGCAGAACAGAAAGGGAGGGTGGTAAAAAGGGCTAGCTTGAGAGAGCAGCGTCCAAAGAGCACCTTAAACTGTAAATGATTCTCCGCAGGTCATGTGAGGAGGACGACGAAGCAGCCATATGCCCCGTTGAGCTGAGAGGAGATGTAGGGCAGAGAGTCTGAGCCCACAGGCGAGGCAGGGGGTGAGCACACTGTCAGCAGGGCCTGCCTGGCAGGGTTACATGGAAGGAGCTGTGTGCACGTGTGGCCACCACTAACCCGGGGACTTAGCTGTGAATGTGTCTCTGTGGTTGTGCCTGGCTAACGTGGCCTTCAACAGTCAATACCCCTAACCCATCTCAACAGCCCCAGTCCAGCTGAGTGCCAGCACTAATAAAGGCCTAACCCAATGTTCTCACCAGACCCAGACGGGGATTTGTAAATTATACCTTTGTCTTCCCGTCTCCCTCCCTGCCCTTGGAGAATGTGGTTTCCCCATCCTATGGCTTTACATTTGGAAGAGATTGTTTTTAAAACCATGGGACAAAGCTTCCCCCTGTGGGAGGCTGGTGTCCTGGGTAACTAGGTGGCACTCTTGTGACCACAGCCATAGGACTGAGACCACACTCACATCTTCATACAGCC